CAGCGGGGTAAGATTTCACTCGAGGTAACAGGGGAAGTCGAAAAGTCTTCCATTACTTTGAAATACACACAGACCCACAGTGAAGGTTATTTGGCACCACGTTTGGGTTTAGATTTTCATCCAAATTAATCTGAATCAAAATGCAGAGTAAACATGACAGATTTCATCTGCTTTACACAAAAATGGATCAAGTTTTAACCGAAACCACAGAATTTTTCAAAGCAGCCTTGCCTACTCATCTCCTGTCATCCCTACTGAAGATCTACTAAAATGTAACATCTGCCCATTTTGATTTTGACTGAACTATATCTCAATGCTTAATACATTAATGTCATTTTAAATCGAATTTATAGTAATTTACTTGAATATTCATCAGCTTAGTTAACGTCATGCTCTCATTGTGTGTTTGTTGAATGAACATTTTATGTGAAATAGGAAATGCTGTGTTTGACTTACTGTTACCTTTTCAACTTGTATTCATATTTGCAATCCTAGACAACCTCTTGCATATGACACAATTCAATTTTAGCTGAAGACAATAAAAATAAAACAAATTTAAAAAAAGCTATTAGGTAAATATTATGTCTTAATGTGTCTTTCCAGCTTAAATTGTTGTCGTGTTGAAAGTTTTGACATTTTCTAATAAACATATAAGAGAACAGGAGAGCTGTCACTCCTTGACTGACAGATTTCAAACCACATCTAGTTTCATAGTGATCCAAAGTCCATGAACCTCTGTTGGTGTCTCATCCCCGAGCTGGCTTCACAAGAGTTCCCATGATGCCCTCTGGGCTGGACTCTGTAGGACGGCGGTGCCAGCTCTGATCTGGTTTCACGCTGTCAGATAAGATCAGTTTGTGTGTTGGACTCATATCACAGAGAAGACCAGGTTTAGGCTGACCCAGTGCTGAGGTTTGGGCTTCATGAGCCAACACAAGTCACGCAATGCAGAACAGTAAGTCAAAGGTCAGAGTTTACCTTTACTACTACTTCTTATTGCTCTCCTTCCTCGTGGGAAAATCGGACCATCTTACAATAAAAAAAATGTTTTTTTTTTGGTTAAATGACATGGAGAAACATGTTGTGATGTTGTGAGCAAGAAATCATTTCACTTTTATAAAAGGGTAAGACAAAGCTAAGCACTCTTTTTTTAGCTTGATTTACAGAGCTGTTAAATCAGAGGATTGTAACAAACATGCAAGACACAAAACAGAATAAAAAAAGTAATTATCTTTGTACACCCACTCCTTTTTATGAGAGCAGTATTTTCAGTATGTAAATACAATCTGACAGACTCTTGACAAAGACAGATCTAATTAGGAAAGTTGTTGTGAAGCTGTTCCACTTTCACTCACAAAGTGTTTTAAATGTGAAAGAGTACGTATGAAGTTTTTGATTACATTGTTATAGATTATGTACATTTGTGGGTTTAAATGGGGATTTTTTTTCTTCCGTCTATAAATTTAAATCCATTATTTCTACTTATAACCAGTGTCTTTTCTTAAACTTGTGATCTTTCACCCACTCTTTCACTTAAATTAATATTGTGGTATACATATTTATCCATATTGAACTTTATTTATATCAAACACACAACCAGGATAAGTTTATAGCACAAACATTTAAAAATAGCAATCCGTTCTTCAGCTTTGTGATATTGAAAACATTTTATGAACAGAGCTCCACGAATAAGAGCAATTTGGAGGACAAACCTGGAAAAGTTTTACAAGTTAGAATTTTTATTTATTTTGTGGATAATGTTACCGGCTTTTGACAATAAATTCCTTTCTTTTTTTGGTTTATGGTTTTTTAAAAATCTGTAATTTTATTGTAACAAATAAGTAATTAAACAATAAGTTCATACTTATTAGGTTAGGATAGGTTGTTTTTTTTTCCTTGATCATATTTGGTTTATCTTTTGCCTGTTAGCATGTGTCTATGATGGATCAGCTGTGGACATTAGGCCATATTCATATATAAATTACAGTAACGTGTCAAACTTAAACATATCATAGTTACTTTCACCGACATGGACCAAATTGAAGCTATCATATATCCTCCACAGATTAGTACATTACTTTGTTGAGTGACCTTTGGATGACTTACAGCCATGTGGCCCCTAAAGTTCACAAAGTTATGGAAGATACACACTGTTGACCTTGTTATAAAAGGCTCTCAGAATCATTATAAAGAGTTTTGTTTCAGGCTGAGATACAGTAAAAAGAGGGATAGGTTATTTTTATGGTTACAGTTATGGACTGAGGCGTATTGTCAGGGACTCAAACAATGTGAACAATGATATGACAAAGAGTACCTCTATATGAAGGGACATTCAGCATCAGTTAAAAATCAACTGAGCAAATGGATGGACATGTATCTAGATGTCTGCGGTCATTACCTGCAGGATACTCCTCCTCTCCTCTGCAGCTTCTATGACACATTTTTAATTAAAATCCAAACAAAAACATTGGGTTAAGTCTTGCAACAACTGTGCTCCAACCTTCAAAAAAGTATGTGGTAATGAATATATAGGATTTTCAGAAGGAAACCAAAGCCATCACTTGTATAGGCATGTAAATACACAGCAGTCAAAGAATGGGGCATTTGGATTTAAAATGCCAAATACCAGGAAAACTTATAATCATTTGTCCCAAAGGACTTTATTGTAAACACATTATCCATTGAAGCAGACTCCAAATAAAACCTCAACTGCATAAAGCACAAATTGCAAATAGGAGAATCAAATTCTCCAGCTGTAATAATGATAATGGTTGCAGTTAAGTGGAGATGCTTGTTATCTGTCTGTTACACATGTGGGCCTTGAATTATTAATGTTGGCAAACTAACTGAGGAGAGGCTGTCTGTGGAAAAAGCCCCTCAACCAGCCCCCCAAATAAGTCTGTAAACACCAAAGAGCCTTATATCACCTCTGCAGTAACTTATGTTAAATAAAATGAAAAACTTTGGTGAGCATAGAAAATTTAAGATGAATAAGGGTATGGGAAAAGGTCATACATAAAACCTGAAAGATACATGGTTTGAATGAAAGGGTGAAAACAGAAAAGCAGGAATTCAGACGGGTTGCAGATGAATTCCTGTGCTTGCCTGCAGGTTACACTACAAGTGGTCTGGGGCCGAAGTTTTTGTGGGGCTCTTGTGGTTTTTCAGCCAATAAATCCTCAGCACATATTTAATCCAGTCAGGGCTGCAGGAGAGGAGCACTGAAGGATGCACGGGCATTAGTCAGCGGGCCACATCAGACAGAGAAGCTGAAGATGAACCCCCCCCCCCCCACACACACACACACACACACACACACACACACACACACACACACACACCTCACTATGTATACCCATCAGGAGACAGGGAGCCAGACACAGGGATCGTAAAGAAGGTGTAAAAATGAAGTGTAAGAGTTCAACGTAAAAGTCAAAAACTGTCAAGTTTTGATGATACTCATCATGCTACAGTATACCAAGTTAATTATCCACATGATATGTAGTGACAGATTTCAACTCTTGATTTGACTTTTCATTTAATATCTACCATACTGATGATGTTCCAGTTGACTTTGAAGGGCTTTTTAGATTCATAAAAACACTGATAGGAGTTGTTTGGAAAACTCACCTGTTTTTACTCCTCTCCTGGATGGTGGTTTGAATTGTTTGCAACACTCTGTCCATGTAACAAAACATAATAAACCGAAAAAAGTAATCAGAACAAAATAGCCTACATTAGTCCTGCTCTCGTCTATAGGTGTTTAAGCTCCACAATTCATTTGTTGCATGAACTTCTTTCATACTTCTGTGCACATCTCCATATTGCTCTTGGTTTATTCAGCTCTTTGTACCCACTGTAAACTACTAAAAAAACAAGAGAAACATGTTGAAAATGTCAACACCAGTGAACACACATCAGAAGATCTTCTGAAAAAGATTATTTGCGGTGAATTCCATCCCTCCATAATGAGACACCTCTGCCATCTTCTGGTCGTTCTGTGTAACTACTATGTATGTTTTTTTTTCTCAGTCTGTTGATCAAAGTTTTGCTTCTTCATCATTCATCTCATCCTGAGATTTAAAGTAAGCTCTGAAAGCTGCTAGAGTGAACACTCTGATTATTTATTTATCTATTAGGCCTAAGTAGGCTACTACAGCCTATGTGTATGATTGTGTGTGAGGGGGACATAGATAATTACATCATAATTACTCAAATTAAACATACATGTTCGACTCAAGAAGATAGAATAGAATAGAATAGAATTACTTTATTGATCCCAAACTGGGAAATTGTGGCGTTACAGCAGCAGGTTATCCAACACACAATATGAGTAAAAAAAAACATAATGTAACGTAAACACAATATAATATTAAATACAAAGTAAATAAGTACTAAAAAAATATCAAAAATAAGAATGAATGTGAATATATACAATCAGGATTTAACTAAGCATTACTAGTCTTAAATAGGAAGATTAAATATGGAAGATTGAATGTAAATGTGCAAAAACAGAGTCGTAAGATGAGTCCCGATGTAAAAAATCTTAAAAAAATAAATACAATAAATAGGTCATTAAAAACAACAACAGAAATCAGCTTATGCTGGTTTGAAAACGCGTACAGACATTACAAAGTGTTAATTTTCTTTTTTTTATTTACTACTATTTACTTACTATTTACTTTCTTACTTTTTTTTCTGGAAATGTACATGTAATGTAACATAGCCTATTGTAAGATGAAAAAAAAATGTAAAAATGTATTCCCCTTTTCGTTTTAGTCATCTGAATAGCCTATTTTTCTTTTTTGTAATGATTTAACAAAATAGTTTAAAGCTAGGCCATTTGTCACTACATTGACAAATCGTTGCAGCTTTAACTGAGTTACCCAGTTACCTTAAGAAAACACGAGGATGACAGGAGACACGAACTAGACCTACTAATTGTAATATACATGTATTACTGTCAGGCATCTTGAGGTCATCACATGGGTCCTTGTAGCCGCTACCTTTAGCTCAGCAGCAGCAGCAGCAGCAGCAGCAGCTAGTGAGCCATTGGCTGGTGAGAGCCTGAGCATCCTCCAGGAAAACACTACTACTGAAAGTACAAAGATACACACGGCTCTTATACAGCTAACAAGGAAATCTCTTTGAAGACAAAGAGTATAAAGGTAATGAGATTCGTGTCTAATAGTTGTTAACCTCTTGTCTGTGCTCGTCGGTACTCGAGTCGCTGCGTCCAGAAAAAGCTCTTTGTGTGTTTTTTTCCCCCCCCCCCCCTCCGTTATAATAAACGTTTTAACAATGGCGATTATTTAACGTGAATCCATAGCAACCGTTTCATTCTGGTTATATTTGAAGCAAACATCCGCTTACATTAGCCTAATAACATTAGCGAACATGTTAGCTTATCGGCTAACAATAGGACGAGGAGATTAGGACCAAGTGTTCACCGCGGATTGAATATGTTCAAGAAAACATTCACCTCGCAACACTTTAACACTAACCCAGTTTAAAAAAAGAAAAGAAGACGAGTAAAGTGTGCAGGCTGGTGATTCTCGACTAGTCATATAACTTCTGTCAATAAGCTGAGCCTGTTTTTTTTTTGTTTTTTTAACTTTGACTTACAAGGCCGACATTTTAACTTGAGTAAACTTCCTCTGTTAAAATCACTATTTAGCCATGCATGAATATATCTGTAATAATGACTGTGTTAACACTTAACAGGAAAGTCATTTTGATGGCAGCAAGAACCACTTTTGTCCGCTCCAAAGCTCAAAACAAATGAAAGGGATGGTTTGCAGGATCACGACGGTACCACAGTCCCCCCCTCCCTCCCGGCCCAGTCAGTGTTGTGGGCTTGGGTCGACCTCCATTATTATTATTAACACCAGCTCTGATTTAGCCCTCCACTGATATTTTCAGAGAGTACCATCATTTATTTGGTAGCTATATATAAATGCTTTGCCTGTAGTCAGGTGGCAGTCGACAGCAGAGTAATGACATGTTAATTCATTTTTAAATAAGAAGGAATGAAGAAAACTTTATTCATGTTTCCACAAGTCTTTCCATCTGAGTTACATGCACATGAACACAGACACAGTACAAATATTTTAATCTCTAACAAATAATCTCATACCCTGTCTGTTGAGTCAACTTTATTTATATAGCACATTTATAACAGCCGAGGCGGACCAAAGTGCTGTACAGTTAATCAGGCAAAATACATTGCATCCAAAACATCATAAAAACACGTAAAAAGCAAAAATTAAAAGTGAATTAAAACACAAAACGATAGTAAAAGTTCTAGTAGACACTGCTGCTGGGATAAAACACTCAGCTAGAGGTAAAGAGGAAAAGAAATGGGTTTTTAAAAGTGACTTAAACTGCTCAGTTGTGGCAGTAGATCTTATTTTAAATGGTAAGCTGTTCCAAAGTGTCGGCGCTGCAACAGAAAAAAGCTTGATCGCCCACAAATAATGTTGACATTATAATGTACCTGAAGGAAGAAGGGGTAAGCTTTTTCAATGGGTTATGTATTGTTGTAGAAGTATATTTTTCTACATTTGAACATTTGGCCACTTAAAAACAGATGTTGGCGGTCTATACACTGCTGCGGAGATCCCTCATTTAACAGCTTTTAAATATGCGTCATTCATTTTCTCCCTATAGATGCCTTCAGCAACGGTTGGCAACAGTGCTGTCCAGTCTGCCACTCCAGACCTGGGAAATGGAAGTCAATGTGAGACCATGAAGCAGGTTCTTGCTGTGATGGACAAGAAGGTTCGCAACATGGAAAAGAAGAAGGTAACGATCTCATTTTATATATTTAAAAATGTGTGAACATTTTTTTTTTAACCCTAAGTAGGATCCAAGATTTATTTTATACCATAAGACTTTTTCAGTAGCATAGGATGTGACTTTTTGCAAATTTTGGAGACAACAATGAAAAAGATCAAAAGTATTTGAAACCTTAGGAAACAGTAAGTACTGTATGTCAATGATTTATTTTTGAAGACAGCATTGGTTTAGGCTTCTTATGACCTCAATGTGTTACATGGAAGTGACTAGATCAGCCTTTGCATATATTAGGGTTGTACTGATGAATCAATGTAACATCGGTATCAGCACTGTTGACAGTAATTGGCCCGTCCTTAAATAATGTGGCATGAACCAATGATAATAGTAGTTTCACAACCAGTGCATCACTATATCATTTAAAACCACAGTGATATCAAAACTCCCTCATCTGTTTATTGTTTTGTCATTATGGAAGGATGTGATTTTTTTTCTCCATGATGTCATTGTTTTATATTTTATCTAAACTAAATTGATGTTTCCCTTTAACACTTTCAGTCTAAACTGGATGACTACCAGGCGAAGAAGAACAATGGAGAAAGTCTGAATCAAGATCAGTTGGTAAGACAATGTCAGTTTGTGTAGTAATTTGTTCAGTTTGCTGCAATAGATATGCAATAAACATTTTTATTTCTTAGACATTTATCTTATTCCTATCAGTGTTAGTGGTGCAATGGGTCATAAATGTCACAGTTTGGATCAGATTGTGGATTTTTTTCTGAGATTCGGCACAGGGATTTAACGAGCGTACATTTACACCATGTTAATACATTTTCTGTTGAACCACGGCTCAAATGCGATCTGAACCACGGGGGGTTGATTTTGATGGATCACTGGTCAGGTGTGATCCATTTCACCACTAATCCGTGTTATCAGAAATTTGACAAAACAGTGCATCTATATTTGTAACTGCATCATGTTTCATGAAAATAATCTACATTTCTTTTATGTCCTACCTGAAGGAGGCTTTGTCAAAGTACCAAGAGATCATGTACAACCTTGACTTTGCTCGAGAATTGCAGAAGAACTTCCTTGCATTGGGCCAAGAGGTCAGTCCTGATTAATGTTGTCATATTTTATTTTGAAAGGTTTAATCAGAATGATATGGCTCTCAATGGAGTTTATTAAATACAATCTCAGGAAACTTTGTATTACCCCTCTGTTTCCAGTCTTTTTGGAAGAAGATCCACATGAAAACTTTATTACCTTGTTCTGTTGAAACTGGTACCAAACTCCAGGAGGGAGACATGATGATAAATATCATAACAACATTACATGACAAGAATAAGTAAATACAGACCGTTTCAAAAACTCGGAAATATAGAGTTCATTTAGAAAACGAGAGAACACAGGGTGATTTGCATTGATCAGTTTTTTTTCTTTGGACCATCCATGCTCATTAAATTTTCGATTTCACTAGGATTTCATTGTGCCTTGCGGGGCTATGCAACCTTAATAGAGTTATGACTTATTTACATCAAAACTTGTCTGACTGTATTTGTATGTTCAGGTTCAAAAGGCAGTGAAGAAGACTGCAAGACGGGAACAGCTACAGCGGGAGGAGATGGAACAACGGCGACTGAAGACAGTTTTGGAGCTTCAGTTCTTACTGGACCAGTTGGGAGATGATAGTGTCAGACAGGAGCTCAAACGGCCGGATGCCACTGGGTCCCCTCTGCTCACTGACGCTGACCTCACTTCACTTGACGAGTTTTACAAACTGGTTGGACCTGACAGGAACTATGATGTTAGGTTCGTGTCAGGGTGCCTTTCATTTTCAGTGCCGCAAATGTCTTTTCGTGTGTGAGTTTTGCACAGTGGTTACAGTATAAAAGTAGAGAGTATGGTTATTGACACACCGAACTACCAAGTTGTATATTTACCCTGTTGTTGAACTTGTAGGTTGACCGACCAGTATGAAGAGGCATCACTGCACTTGTGGGAACTGCTTGAGGGTAGAGACAAGGCTGTTGCAGGGACCACATGTATGTATTTTCACAGCTGTAGATCTCCCACCTCACAAACACAGCATACAAATTCATGTACGAAGCCATGTTTTCTCCATATGACATGTTGGGCTATTTTTGTTCCAGACAAGTCACTGAAGGACACTCTGGACAAAGTACTGCTGAGTGCTTACTTTGACAGAGCACAAACTCATCAGAATGGGACGTGTGTGAAGGAAGAGGAGAATGAGGAGCAGACTGTAGTGGCTGAGTCTAAGTCTGAGATGCAGCCATCAGAACCTGGTAACTAACAACTCATTCGCTGATATACTATCTGTGAGATATTTCTCTAATCCAGACAAAATCCTTAAATTTGTGTCTTTTTTTGTAGAAGGACCAGCCTCTGAAAAATTCACGGAGCCAGTTGAAGTGGAAACTACAGAGGTGAGATCTTATAATATTTTACATTTGTGATCAATTACAAGGCTTCAGTGAAAGTTGTCTTCTGATTTATTTTGTTAGTTGGATTACATTTTTAATATGTTGTCTCGTCTTCTAGTTCATAAACAGACAGTTCATTCCAGAAACCACGTACAGCAGTACAAACCAAGACCAAGTTGAGGAGTGGACAGCAGAGGCTCAGGTATGCTGCAAAACTGTATTTAATGCCACGATGCATATTTTCACCCCCCTCGAGTTTGTGCAAACTTTAATATATTAAATATGTATCCTTGTTTTGAATAGATGGTAAACTCCCTCCAGCACCAGGCACCTTCACCTGTGGCTGCAGAACCAACTGTTACTGTGAACCATGTCGCTCCAGCTCCGGTCTGTGACCCAGTGGTTAGAAAGCAGGTAGTGCAGGACCTCATGGCCCAGATGCAAGGGACGTACAACTTCATGCAGGTAAAAAAGTCCAGCATACAGTATACCGTAGTGCAGTTCAGTGCTAATATTACTATTTAATCTATGACTATTCAATCACACATTAGTTTGACCCCCTTCATTAAATACAAGATCTAAAAAAAAACATACTCAAATAAAATAACGTTTAATAATTCCATATCAGTATGCAGCTCTGGAATAAAAGCTTTTTTTTTTACTGTATTTACCACCCTTATAAAGATTAGCAGCAGCTTTGGCTTTTTATTGTATTTATTAATAATGTAATTTGAATCCATCTTTATTATTTAAGGTTTAAAACTTCCCTGCAAGCGTGGATGTTTATTGTGTTCTTATGAGTTAGCACCAATGGCCTTTGAGGAGTTTTTAAGTTATTCACCAGCGGTTTGTTTTTAGCTATACATTTATTCTTATTTGGTTCTCCTAGGACTCCGTGTTGGAGTTTGACGGCCAGGCTCTGGACCCCGCTATTGTGTCTGCCCAGCCGATGAAGCCTGGGCAGACCGTTGACATGCAGCAGATGGGCTGTCCTCCAAGTGAGTGCCAGTGAATTTAACTTGAATCTTAATGGATAATATAGCAGATTGTGATTAGTATAATAAGATGAGGAAATGTTATTGTTAAGTTGGAAATGATTTGTTTCTAAGGTGTTTATTTCCTTCTTATTTTCTCCCTAATAGCCCTCTCAGAGTCCAGACTTCCTCAAACAAGTACAGTGTCCGGACCACAGGAATCCTCCCAAGTAAGGAGAGCGGAAGTACTTCAGGAAGTAGTTGTTTAGACTTGGTTGCTTGGATTTGACTGAAAGAGTGTTGCACTAAATGAAAAGCAAGAGTAGAACAGGTTTTACCTTTACTTATGTGGGCCATATTTTTACATGCCATATTAGTATATGGTGAATAAATGTGATGCTCTCTAAAAAGTCATAATGTTGTCGACTGTGCATTAGATATTTGAAGCATTTGAGTGTGATGAAAAGCAACCTCACCTTCTTTCCTACTCACCTCTCGCCAACCCTTGTTTCCTTGCTGTCTGAATTCCCTCCTACCTCCCTACTTCCCTACCTCCTCAGGCCTCGATGTCTCTATCATCTGAGCAGTCCCCAGCCCCATGTCCCCTGTCCTCTGCCTTCCCACCTGTCTCCAAACCCTCCCATACTGGAGGCATCAATGTCAACGCAGCACCCTTCCAGTCAGTGCAAGCGGTATGCTTTCCATCAGAGTCCAATTAAACGCTATGACAAGGGATATGTTGTGGCATTCTGTTGAAAAAAGTCAGGTTCCATACTAATTTGGTTAATGGTTGATCATTGCTGCACCATCCGAACATGCAACAGTTTGATATGACCCCTTATTTCCCAAATCTACAGTATGTCTTTCCATCTAGATATTTTCACAGAAATAATGGCTGTGATATTGTTTTTGTACAGACTGAAATACAGAAACCTTTCTTTCCCTTCTTTAGGTATTTAACATGAATGCACCTGTACCTCCTGCCACTGATGGCCAAGCAGAACCCTTGAAGCAGCCCAGCCAGTTCCCTGGTAACTATGGACCCGGCTTTAGCAGCCAGTCGGAGAGTTCTGTTGAACAGCCGGACATTCCACAGGAGACATTACAGTCAGGTGAGAGGAAGCTATGACTAGTTTTTAAACAATGCAGTTGACATAAACACGTTGTCGAGCATCATCTCTACATTTATCCGACAGTTGAAGCAGATTCATAACCTGTGTGTACATTAAAACATTTAGTATGAACAACAAAAAAACAGTGTGTATGTTTGAAGGGGCTCCTCAGTTTGCCTTGATTTAAAACAAAATACCCCTTTGGTTACAGTAGTGTTAAAATAGAAATCAGTCATAGCATCATGAGTCTATAAAACTACAGCCTTTCTAGCAGAAAGTGTATTTTTAAAGTCAAACTGCTATTATTAAGGCATCTTTCTTGCATGCTTCTGTGTAGTCGTCGGTGGCTTTCAGCCCCAAGACCAGGTCCTGCCCTTAGCAGGAGGCCATGAAGAGTCCTCTCCAGGTGCAGGGTTTGGACAGTCGGGACAGTCGTTTTACAACAGCAGAGCAGCGCCCAGGGGGGGACAAAGGAACAGCCGCGGCATGATGAACGGATACAGAGGCTCCTCCAATGGATTTAGAGGTACGGACATTAAACTGTGTCTCACAAAGAAAAATATGTATTCATTGTGATGACACAATACTTGTGATTCTTGTGATTATCATATTGTTTTATTGATCATTCTAATGTACTGTTTTTTCAGGGGGGTATGAAGCCTATCGCCCTCCTTTCTCAAACGCTCCTAACAGTGGTTATGGTCAAACCCAGTTCAACACATCCCGAGACTATTCCAATAACACCTACCAACGGGTAAGTGTACTTTTACTGTATTTTACTTTTGTATCACTATATGTATGTACTATATGTATCATCAGTTCTCTCTCAGTGAGAAAGATAACAAGTTATTGTAAATTCCTGTTCACTAAATGATAATAACACATTTCTCTAAAATTTAAGGAGGGATATCAGCAAAACTACAAGCGTGGAGCTGCACAAGGACCTCGAGGTTTGTCCAGGGGAAATGCTCAAGCAATGCGATCCTAAAGGATCAGAAGGACCATCAAGTCGCGCCACGTTTAACATTCAGGATTTTTGAATGTGTTCTCCCCAGGTCACTTTTTTAACAACATTTTGTTTCTCATTGGTAATCTTATTTTTTTTTTTTTAAATCCTGGCCTACTTATCAGAGTCAGCCTGCTTCAGTCTGTCTGGATCCTCTAATTGTTTTAACACAAAATGCTGAACATCACCACATGTAGGGTTATCAGCAAGTCTGTGTGATATAAAACAACATAGATATTCCTGTAAACTTGAAAGATTTCATTAATTTATTTTTTGTACAAAATAAATGCAAAAAATACCCTGCCACTGTCCATCTGATTCCATGAGAATAATTTTCCGTCTGCCCTGTGCTGTCAGCCACTTTTTCCTCTTCATAAAGGCATTAAATGTTCTTTCGTTTTTATACCCCTGTCATCTCTTTGGCCATCACCTCTTTGTACGCTGATGTTATTGGTTTAGACTGTTTCAATAAAGCTGTGTTCTATTACCTTCTGTTTAATGATAATGGTGTCCTGCTTTGGTGTGTATTCAAGATTCATTATTTGGTATCTTTCAAATGTCTGATTGGTGTGTGTTAATGTTTCAAGCCCTTCAAAACTAGTAGACTATCCTCACTGTTACATAATGTATATGCAACAATGTAATGAAGTGAAGTAAGCCACTTAGTCTTGTATTCACACCTATGAAATAAGAGTAATAAAGTTCTTAAGAACTAACAAGAATTTCAAGTTAAATCACATCAACTACTACTAATTGATTCTGCACATTTATGTCAACAAATAAGGTGCTAGTGGTTTATATTTCTCAGTTGAGTTTGATGTCATTCATCAAGGAATCAATCTTTTACACAAACTGAAAGGTAAAACTGCTTTATTGTCATGATCTGAGGTGAACAGGTCTGTCAAATGTATTTTATCCAGCAGCAAAGCGACCGCAGAACGCCATCCATATGTTTTGTGCAAAATATAATGCAGTATTGTCTCGTAGGATCGACTTGGCACACAGAAAACAAATCAAACGTTTTAAAAAGTAAATCCACAATAAGGCAGACATGTTATTTCACTGGATGCAAATGGCGCCTTCTTCAGCAAGGCAAATAGTCTGGCAGCTTGAAGAAACCACAACATATGAAGAAACCTGAAAAGCATAGCAGTTACACAAAAAAAGGTCAGTCAGGTGGAAAATATGCCACCAACATATCGTGTGCTAAATACAAAGATGACAACTGAATACTGAACAAGTGTTGGACTGTTAGACACTTAATATCTGGTTTAGCTTTTACCAACTAAGAGATTTGCCCCTTTTTTATGATCAAGTCCTCAAAAGAACCAAACTAATTGAACAAATCCATTAGTTGCTTCAACGATTCCAGAATAAAAGCCTTCACTGTAATTAATGAAATTAGCTGCTAAACATCAAAACTGTTCCTATAAACAAATCCAAAGTCATGATCAATAATGATCAACTCATAAATAAATGTCACACACACACATTTTTGTGCATGAACAACAAAATGGAAATCAAAACACCCATCTGACTTTTTAATGTCGCAAAGCAAATCCATCATTCAGACAACCAACTCTCCTCTTCAAGTATCTGAGGGACTTCAGTGGTGACGAAGTAGGGCAAAACGTTTGTTGGAGATAGGAGTGTTCCTTATCTTTCTCTATTTCTAGAAATGTATAACCTTTATTTAATGAAACATTAAAGTCCATGGAGAACAGCTGCTGAGTGCTCTAAATACAGCCCATGTCTGTAGTCCTGATCCCAATGTCTTTTTAGGCAGAGCACGCATTTTCTACAGCTGAGAACCTGTAGTAAACAACTGACAGGATATGAAAATCAATACACATCCTTTATAATCAAAGAAATTACAATTTTATTAAATGAATTCTTCACTGGAGAATAAGAACTTTGAGCAGCGTGAACTCATGGAAGTGTTTCTGGTTGCAGCTAAATATGACAGAAATACAATTTTGCAGAAATCTCACGGGACCCTTGTAGATAATGATTAAATGACACTTAGTCTGCATCCAAACTTATATTTGAAAAATTATGCACTAACTGGGAACCTTTTAAAAAAAAAAGGGTTCCAGTTAGTGCATCAAAATGCTTTATACTGGTGGTTTTTACTGGTTGTAATTGCTATAGGGCGTCTTTTCAAAAGAACATTGATAAAATGAAACATATGTTTTACTCCTTACTCCACTTTACGACCTCACAAAGGCAGCTTGCATGTCATTTTCAGAGGTTCTGTACTTGTAACAGCAGGTATAGACAGCTCAACAAAAACATACTTTTTGTATTACTGTATTACCAAACATTCTTTTTTTCATTGCTCATGTAAAGTTTGCACAGTTTAAAATGTCCTTGTTTTTTTTTGTTTAACTTTTGTTATTATGTTCTGTAATCCAAAGATTACATTTTTTTTTTTTTAAATCAAACACTGGAATCAGTCAACAGGGATTCCTTTTGAGCTGCTCGCCATCTTAAAAGAGTCCTCCAAACCCCCAAGTCATGCTTGTTAAGAGACCTAATACTGGACTGCTCCTCTGCTTGTTGAGGTGGAGCTGCAGCTCCAAGTCTGCTGCTTGGAGGAGTTTAGACAGCACTGTTATGGTACATTATTTCGGCCTTGTGCTGCTTCCTGGTGGCCTGGGGGCAGATCCTGGTGTGTCTGAGGAAGACCTTGCTGGGCTAGAATTTGATTTGGAGGTTTATGATGTTCCTGAGGTGTATCGTGGGCAGCTTGATGTTCAGGTTGATGGGCTTGTTGGGCCTTTTGTTCATGATGTAACTGGTCATCAAATGCATGTATTTCTGGGAGAGCGTTGCCTTCAACTGTAACAAAGAAGCAGTTTTAAATTATCAGAGATCTACCAGTAAAATCTAAACTTTTCAAAGAAACAACATGTTCACTTACCATGAACCTCTGGAGGGGGTTCTACTTTCTGTGATTTCAGCCGCTCCATATGATCAACTGCCTGTAATGTTGCATTTCAATAAAAACATTTTTTTTAAAAGAAGTAGGAAAGACGATTTGCCACATTCACTTTTACAGTAAACCCTATGTAGTACGTCTTGTTTCCGTCTAAAACATTTCTAAAAGCAGTGTTCACTTCCTACCTGTTGCAGCTCAACTTTCTGTGCATTAAGCTGGTCCTGTTGTCTCTCCAGCTCATCTCTCTGTTTCTGGAGGTCAACAGCCTTCATGTGGAGGTCCTGTTCCTGCTGAGCAAGATGCTCCTCAAACTCCCTCATCTCCTCGTCCGTGTAAGCCTGATTCTGCTCCAGGGTCTGTCGAACACAAACAGATTTGATGGCATTCATTAAATTATTATCACAAAATCTTATCAGTTAAACTTTATTCTTAAATTACAAACATGATGAATATAGTTTGTCTTACCTCCCAGCTATCTGGCTCCAGGAATTCTTTTTTCTTTGTAGCAACTAGGAACTCATCTAAAGAGACCAGCCTGTCTTTGTTAGAATCCACCTTAAGTATTACAAAGAAAGAGTAAAGGACTAGGCATATAATCCATTTTATAATGTACAGACAGTCAAGACAACACACAACATGTGGAGGCTCATTTTGTGTGCATATCAAAGCATAGTCTATTAAAAAAAGCGCCCTCAGAGTAACTCACTGTACCTCATTCATAACATGCTCTCTCATTCGTAGCCTCTCTTCCTCCATCTCCACCATATCATCCTCTTCATTGGTGGGGTCATATATTTTTTCCAGCTAAAATCACAAAGATAAACCGTCAGTGAAAAGGCCGATCACTGAAACATTTTACATTTTCAGATGAGGAGACTCTCATACCTCTTTGGTGAACAATGCCTCCAGTTCCTGTTCATCAAAAAAGCCATCTCCATTGGTATCTGCGTCATAAAGAATACATAATTAATGCATTATGCCTTCTTATCCCAAAGGTGGCCAGGTGGGAAAGGTCTTACCATGCAGGTTGAAAAAGGTCTTAGGGTCAAAATCTTCAGGGTCCAGGCCATCAGCTTCCTCCCACACCTCCTTCAGTTGATTCTGGCTACCCTGAAAAAATGAAGCTTAATCATTTTTTAATTATTGCTGGATGAATAACAACTTGTCTCTATCATTTGATAGAAAGTTCCCATAATTTTTTAAAAATCAAATATAATGAATACAATAATCTGGACAAAAGATGCAAAATTAAGTGTAACCCAAGAAAGTTGCTGGCTGAAACAAAACACATTAAGAAAGCACGATGATGGGGCGCCCCATGTACGGAAGTCCTCCAAGCAGCCGGCCTGGGTTCGAATCCAACATGTGGCTCCTTTCCTGCATGCAAGTCCCCCCTCTTTCTCTCCCCAATGCCTTACTCTAGCCACTCACCTATCTCTTAAAAAAAAAAAAAAAAAAAAAGGCATAAAAAGCCCAAAAATAAACCTTTAAAAAAAAAAGAAAGTAGAGAGTGTGATGATGACACCTGTTTGTGCAGCTGCTTACCGGGTGGTTGACTTTAGGATGGTCAGCATGCTTCTTCTTCAACTCCTGATAGTGCTCCTCCTCTTTCTGTCTTTCATTCTCATTGAGTGTTTTCAGGTGCTCCCGTCTGTCGTGCTCTTTCGTCATCTCATACCTCTTGAACTCATCGTGTCTCTCTTTGTCGTAGTTCTCCAGATCTTTAGTGGCCTTTAATCCAGGAGAAAAAATATTTTCAAGGGCTGGAGATACACCATGATTCAAACCAATAGTTAATATGGTTCATTGTCATACTTAATACTAAGGAGACTAATTCATTTACTATTGCCGCTAGCCCATCTGGTAATAGGCTACTGCATGCATGCTGCAAAACAACCAAAGACTGATCATTTGTAAAGTTGCACACCCTACCCAGGCTTCTTCTGTCATTTTGTTTTGGTATTAAATCCAACTTTTGAAGACAGTTCTTGAGATATGCCCTCTACTGAAGTGGACATTGTCTCTATAATTATTAAGGAACGTCAGTTTATCATTGTTCACACTGATTAGCATCATGTGCTTTTAGAGTGCTCCAACATCTGGTATATCCAGCTCAAGCTTTCTTCTTGCGTATGTGTGCTCTGTTCATATATAATTAAATATAAAACATACAGACAGCTGTGTTAAAAAGCTAAATATACAGTTCTCAGATAACTCAGTAGTAGTACAACCTCTGCATACAATAGCTTGGACAAAAATAAATACGAGTAAGATGTACTCTGACATAGATCAATGTAAGGACTCTGTCTTCAAAAGGGCTCCAAGCTTTTTCTAGCTTGTTTTTGGTAAAAAAATAAAATAAAATAAAAAGACAGAAACAATTGGTTGTTTGAGATGTAGGACAAACATACACTGGGTCAGCTCTTTTTTTTATAGGTTTACATGTCCATTCTGATGCAATACAGCACTGGATCAATCCGGTTACCGTTTTTTTGTTCAAAACACATTTTTAATGATGAGTGTTTTGAAAGCGATGTTTTTATCCTTTTCATTTACAAACAGAACCGGGCAGGATTTTTATAAAACCTCTGATTATAATACTATCTTCTATGTCATCCTTACCTCTGAGCCTAATACCAACGCACAATAATTGACACCTCTAAAAAAAAAAACAATCTGCCTTTGAACATTAATTGAGGCTCATAAGCATGACTAAGCTTGTCAAATTGTGTATGCACAAAAAATACTTTTTTTTGCTGATAACAAAAAAGCAGGTCACACAGCTTTAGCTGCAGAGGGGACTGCATGTCCTTAAGCCATCAAAGTCTACACCTACAACTGTTAGTTTCTATGTACGGTGCTTTCTTTGAGCATTTTAAGCATTGTGTGTTCTCCTGTGACGAACTCTCTCCTCTACAACACTCTTCTTTGCAAAGACACTCTCTGTAACGTGTCTTTTTCCTGCCTTATTTTGCGCCCCAGTTACAAAGTACAACAACGTAAATATGCCCTTAATTTAGGTTATAAAGTAACCAAGACATTTACCGATTTGATGAGCCGATCAAGGTCTTCCACTTCAAATGTATGTGGGTTCATGTGGTTCAAGTACTCAAACTGTTTCAGCAGAGCCTGGTGGTCCACAGCTATGTCTAATCAGGGAGTAATTGATGACGTAAAAAAAAACATTTATAGATATTTAACACTGCATTTTATTTATTGTGTAATCATGTTTTATCTTTTGGTAAGTTGTAGCATCTTAATTAAATTATATTTAAGGTCCAAATGAAAAAAACGTACCATTCCCTCCTTCGATATCTTGCTTGGCCTTAATCAGAGTTCGGAGTCGGTTTACCTCCTGCCTCTTCAACTCATCCAGCTTTGTTCGAACATGATGGCTGACAAAGTCCAGTTCTTTGGCCAGCTTGCCTTGCTGCGTTTGACATCAACAATGAAGCAGTTAATGCACAGAAGACTTATTGGTTGTAGCAGTACATGTAATACATTAAAATGACTTCAGTGTTCACTGTGGTTCTTTAGGGGAAAAATAAATAAGGACTAAAATAAGGAGACAATCTACTCTGTTTTTTTTGTTTTTTTTTCTTTGTAGCATTGAAGTAAAAGCCACAGAATAGTTCAAGATAATGATTTACTAAAAGTTTACTCAGTGCTGGTAGAAACTTCTTGCTAAAAAGACCAAACAAAAGAAAAGTGGCATACCTTGATGTCCTCCATGTCTGTATTGTGGAGCTTTTCTCTGAAGTGCTGATCTTTCTCTAGAAAATCAATCACTTCTCTGAGGTAGCGGTCGTAGTGGAGTCCAGTATCCTGTCAAATTTAACAAGTAAACTATCACTTTTGTTACACGTCTTCAGAACATAATATATAACTCTATTCTTTGAGAGGACTTGCATACTAAATGCAGTGTAAGTTAAAGATATATTACATTTCGCTTCTATAGGATATGTGTCTGCTGACTGACACAGCAGATCCTCTGACCAGGTGTTAGAGATGGATGGTTTGTCATGAATGCCTATAAACATCATTACGGCCATCTGCTTAATACGATTAGATGAAGATGTGTTCTAGTTTAAGACCACCTACTAATCCCCCAATAGAAAAAGTGCATTTGTATGCATTCTCACATCAGAACAAAATCTACCAGCCTTACTAAACTACTAATATAGTCAATATTAACATGGACACTTTCCAAAGCCACTGACTGGCTGACTGATTGCTCTTTGTAATATAGCAACAAAGAGCTCTTTTGTAATGTTAAAAGACAAAGAGTAAGGTATTCTACCTGCTTTTTGTACAGTGTCTCGAGATAACACTTGTTATGAGTTGACTCTATACAAATAAAAATCGACTGATCGATTTATTGACTGCACAAACAATACTATGACATCTGGAGCTGGTGTTTGATGATGATATGGATTTGTGCCATCGTAAATGAAGCATCTAACTTTGTCTGTTTAATTGTAGACATCAGGCCTGCTGTAAATTAGTCAGGATGTCATTACCCAACGCTCTTCTGTTTACTGCCTATTGATTAGTTGTTAACAGCTACATCACTGCATCACTACGGCATCATCAGCTACCACAGAACCAAAGCTGAGTCACTCCTGAATTATTATTGAAGAATCTAAATGAAATGCCAGTCTCATATTAACAAGCAGACTACATAAAGTATGACCTCTTGTACCCCCGAAAGAAAGTATGCTATACAAGCAGAGAAGAGAGATGTGTGAAGCTGTACTGATCAAAATGTGGAACTGGTGCACAATTTTGCAAAACCAGAACAATTAAAGCAAATAAGACAACAACTATTTCTCTGATCTTTAGTTTAATCTGCAGAAGTGCGTATACAACAGTGTGTCTCTTCTTACCACACTAGCAGGGGGCTCTTCTTTTTTCCCCTCTACCTCCTTGACTTTAGTCTTGTCCATACTGATGGGCACTGCCTCCAAACACAGCAGCTGGACCAGCAGCAGAACCGAGCCGGTGACAAGAGCCCGGCCCCGACACATCTGCACATTAGGACAGTTATTATTGTTGGTAAAGTACTCATAAAACATATAACAGCGTGGGGGAAATAAACAACTAAGGGTGTGCAGTGTTCGTTTTGTGGACATCTTCCCCTCTACAAATAAAAGTGTTGTCCATCATTAGCGAGCTAATAATATCCTGAGGCAGCTGATAGTTTTAGCTTTAGCACGATGATAGATCTGGCTATGGAGGAAACAACTGATGGTGTAAGCCTTCAGAAGCTAAAGTTACATATCCGTGAGTGTAAACTTACCGTCGAAACAACAATAGACTCATGTCAGTCGTAAACTTACTTTATTATTACTCCTGAATCTCATCTGTTCCGCTCTCCTCCCGTCGTTTCACTCTCAGCTGGCGTTGTGTCGGCAGCTAGCTCGCTAGTCAGCATTATAGGTTGAGTGCGTGGTAGCGCTAACCCCATTGGTCGGTTCAGCGTCGCGTCACACGGACTAGTAAAGATGTGGCGCACTGAATCGTACGTGGCGAGATGACGACGGAGCAGGTGGGCGGGTTACCTGTTGTTTTTGATCGAGTCAATTAAAGCTATTTAAAGAGTGAAGGCCAGGTCAGAAAACACACGTAATACGACCAGTTTCATGCCATGCCCGTCTGGCAGTGAGTAGATGTTGTAGTATTAAGTAGGCATATTCTTACCTGTATCAAATAAACAAATAGACATCAGCCTATATAGCCTAGTCTTTTTTATTATTCCATTAGAGAGAATACATATTCTGTGGTATTTTTATATCCTACATGAAGTTGCATGTTATGGCTGTTTATTTTTCACTTCAACACTAGTTGAAAAAAAGTAATTTAAATAGTAGGCTATTTATTATCATATTATTATCATAAAATAGGGTTATCATTTATATTAATTTGGATTGAGACAGCAAACAGCACAAGTTAAGCTTAATTAGTCCCTGGTAGTATTATTATTGCCTATGGCATGTTATTAGATGCTAGATAGGTTAACAACTTGTATAAGGGTAAAAGTATAAAGTATAAAGTTGTGTTCTCTTTTTGTCTGCAATCTTTGCTCTTTGCTGCTGTAACACTGTAAATTTCCCAATTGTGGGATAAATAAAGGATTGTTTTATCTTATCTTATCTTATCTTGTTTTATCTATAATAAAACGAAATGGAAAAAGCACCTCAAAAATTGTAGAACAATATTGAAATGGTGTAAAAACTAAATTTCACTCAACTCTCAGGATGCAGCATTCTGTGATTAATAGGTCCAAATTCACCTCTTCACCTCAGCCCTGCCCATTGTGCTAATGGAATTAATTTTACGCTGAGCCTTATGGCTGTCCTTGCAGATGGCTCTCTGTGGCCTCTGCAGCCTGCAAATGCTGCTAAAGACGAGGGCACCTGTGAGTTTTCTAAAGACAGCCAACAAAATTATTTTAATCACTGCAAGTAACTTGAAAGAAGTCAACAATTTCCAATTATTGCTTTTTGCACAAATACCCCAACTTAGTGCTATGTGTTTCTATAAATTATGTTTTTCACTCCTTATCAATTAATTGAATACAATTGGTTATTTGCGCATATTGATGCTCTCTAGTAAGTTCAGGGGCATTGGCTTCTTGGTACAAAAGAGATGGAAAGTTAGTGAACTTAACTGCTTATGTGCAATCACATGACTTGTGGGCAGCTTACAGTCGCAGGTTAAAAACAACCCACACGGTGGCCAATTAATCATTGTTTGGCTGTGGCTCTGGAGTCACAGTGGGTCATCCACTTATCGCAGACTGGACGATTCAATCCCACATGTCAAGAAACCAGGACACTAAGCTCTATAGACTGCTGCTGTGTGACTGTGTAACGAGATGCTTATGGTACAGCACTGAAGATCACATGATATAAATGTAGAACTGAGATTGTCTGTTTTACGATGCTGGAGGAAAGGTAATAATTTATGCCTGATTAAGAGCAACTAAAACATATTTATTAACCTAGTTGTTCTGTTCATTGACTTTTATTATAAACCGTGCATTTTAAGAAGACATAAACTGTTTTAATGGGATCGCCACTTGTTTCAGCAGCTGCTTGGATGGAGAGCATAAAATTGCTGCAAGAGTTATAAAAACATTGGCGTTCTGCTGGAACTGTGAGAGCTAAAGATCCAAAAAAGACTATTTATGAGGCTTGGCACCTACAGCAAGACATTGAATCCATTTTTTTTAATCTGGATCTATTTGCTTCCAACTAAAATATAACATCCCTTCCCTGTAGGTGTCAGTGTGATAGTTCAATGAGCTGGAAGGCAATTAATCACTGTCATAGATCACAATTAAGAGAAAGTGAAAGAAAGCTAGAGCAGACGGGGAAAATCTGACCTTACTTTTAATTATATGATGACAAAATATGCTGGATAATCAACAGGAGGCTAATTTATTTATATTGCTGTGCATTGTGTAGGTGGCAATTTTAGGTGTGCACACTCATTTACGTATCTATTACCCTGCTCAGGTTAAGAGACCACTTGGGGAAAAAAAAATCCATTTTAGAAAATATGGTATTGATTTCCTATATGTGGGCATCTGCCTGACAGATTAGGACACAATCTATTCTAAGATGAAGAGATGAAAGACTGAAAAAAAATACGAGAATCTTTAATACATTTTCAGCACCTTCGGTAAGCTGTGATTCAGCAGGAGGAGGCTCTCTGAGGAGAAGACAATAACATTGAGTCACCTTGCTGCATTGTGAGCCTCTGGCAGCCGAGAGGCAGGAATCAGCAGCAGCAGAGACCGTACCGCAGAGCTGCACTGGACTGCATCAACTATGTGTGTGTTTGTGTGTAAATTAGAATTAGAAGTGTGTGTGTGTGTGTGGTTGTGTGAGAAGTGGGGATGATAATAAATCATAGCAAGGTCAAATAACGGCAATTGTTAGGGGATAAGAAATTATTACACTGCAGTATGTGTGATGTGCTTCATTTTTACTGGTTGCAGAATACACACCTAATTAATTACGCAGCAAATGTCTCCAAATATGAGTAGAGCGATATCAATAAAACAGCTGTAGTATTGATTCATCCAGAAAGTATTTATGTATCTATGCCTGTTGCAGATCTCTGTTATCTGCTTTACCCTACAATGTAAAACAATGATTGCTAAAAATGCAGCATATAGTATGCATGTGCTCATTCTATATGCTATACATATAGCTGTATAGCTGCTTGGCATAGACTGATGGTGGTGGAGTGTCTTCTTTAGGTTGTCAATTGAGATAAAAGCCGGTGATTTCATTCAAATGAATCCCATCATCTTAAAACTCATCAAACCATTCTGTGCCTCCTTGTGACATGTAGCAGGTCATTATTTAAAATATGTTTCTCAGCTTATTTATTCTGTTTTTCATTTATTTGGAGCATATACACTTAATTATTCATTCCTTATTCTGAGTCCTATATGATACTTTATGCACTGTAAGAAATGTATTAAAGCAGGGGAAATCCTTTCATTCCTTGCATTCTTTCTTCTGTCAAGTGGATACGGCTTTAGAGGGTTTGGTGTCTGAGCAGCATCTCACTCCAGTGTTTTTTTTTTTAGAGGAAATGTTTTATCTCTCACTGTCTTTGAAGAGCGCTGCCTTAAACCACTGGAGAATGTTAAAACAAAGCCTCCCAAAAGGGAATCACAGATCAAATATTTATTATGTTGACAGAGGTTGGTTGCTCCATGCTCACTGATGTGAACCCCACAGTAAAACAGTGTTGTCTTTTCAGAGAGGACACATATGCTGTAATCTACACCTAACAGTGATAAAAGATACTTTCCTGTTTCCAGCACATTATGTGACTTTGAAATGTGTGATTTTGTATTTATAGAAGAGAGCGCGGCATGTCGGAGTGAAACCTTGCTTCTTGTGTCTCATGCTCAGCTGGGTAACCCCTGTGCCAACACTACTGTGACTTTGAACACAAAGCACAAGTGAAATTTATGGGCAGCATTGGTAAATTGGGCAGGTCCGTTTGATGCAGTGTAAGCATTATTGTAATGTGTCATGGTCAAACAGGCCCTTCTGTCCTCAAAGCCTGACTGCAATCAAGGTTAAAAACTTCATCTAAAGCTTCCGTCACAATTCATGTACAGACAGTCACTCATGCATGCTGCCATGCTCTGCTCGAAGTACATGAACATACACACACACACATAGCTGCTTTACAGAGCCCTTGTAGCACTGAGATACTTTTTATTTACTTGTGATGTGCTTAAGCTTGAAACATGAATTCAGATATGCAAATACATAGATGTGTTGGTTGCTCTTTGGTTCTTGACTGTGGTTGTACAGTTGTTTAGTTGTTTAGGAGAATACTATTGCAAAGGCAAGAGATATCTGTATCATCACACAACTTAAAACACTTTGAAGCTTTTGTTTCAAGAACAGAACACCAGTAAAGGAGATTATTTTGCAATATTGATGTCTGTAATTGTTTTTTGAATAATTAGTCTTTGGTAGGCTAGGTTTTTGTTGTTGTTGTTTTGTTTTACAATTTTGACCTCATTACTTAATTCAATTAGCACATCCCAGTTGTAATTGAATATTACCGGGGTTAAAATAGCCTATAGAAATGCTTTATAACCCAAATATGCCAGAATATTTCAATGAACTGTCAGACTGACTGCTTCTCGGAAGTAGAAGAAGTGTGGTTGTTTCTTCAGCTGAAATTACTTAAAAACACAGTCGTGTAAATGGCTTGAGCTTTGGCATTCTTCCCCTTTAAATAAACTATGCAGCCCTAGCGGTGGTGGTATTAACTGGGCTCCCAGGGAAAGTCTGCGGAGAGAGGGAGAGAGGGGGGGGGGACAAGCCAAGCCAAGCCGGAGACGAGAGATCATGGCGGCACCTCTCGGACGGGACACCCTACCTGACTACTGGTCATACGGAGTTTGTAGAGATGGCCGGGTCTTCTTTATAAAGTGAGCCGGGTTCAACTACTCTGCGTTTCACTTGGAATTAGTACCGTATGGTTTTTTTTGTTGTTGCTTTATTTTATTTTCAGTAACAGGTGTCTTTCTTGCAGCGATAAAACTCATAGCACTACTTGGCTACATCCACGCACTGGTGAACCTGTTAACTCGGGACACATGATACGCTCAGGTACGCGACAAAATAAATCTGATTTGGAGGATACCGAGGGGGGGCATTTCTGTGCTGCAGTGTGTTTTCTGTCTGTGGCGGGCTCGCTCAATGTGTTTTTTGTGTCGTGTTGTAGATTTGCCAAGAGGATGGGAAGAGGGCTTCACGGACGAAGGAGCCAGCTACTTCATCAAGTGAGTGGTGGGCTTGTGGGCATATTTGCGTAGTATGACCGTGCACACTTTGATCCCTTCAGCTACGTGCTGTGTTAAAATGCCTTTCTAAGTCCTCTCCTTTTCTTTCTTTTACCGTGCAGTGTTGACATGATTCTTTGCACCGAGTTGCAGTCAAATAGTGGCACTCAAACTACATCAAAAGGCTGTACTTTCAACACAACATAAGGTTAGGGTTGACACAGAAACACACCGGCATATGGATTAACACACCGGGGTCCCATCGGATAGGTGAAACCAATTACCTCTGCCTGCATTGAGAATGGAAAGTGGCAGTGCCTAGCAGGACAGGAAGAAGCCTATTAAAATTCTCCTCACATCCTCCTTTGCAGGACCTCTACTCTCTCCATTAGATAGGTGTACAGCCTGTGTGTGTGTGTGTGTGTGTGTGTGTGTGTGTGTGTGTGTTAGAGAGACTGTAAAGGTTGCAGGAGAGGGGTGTGACCATGTATTGACAGAGATGTATGGCATGATTGCATTATTGAAGCAGAGAGGACAGCATTTCCAAAGTCACAGACAGCAGTGTGAAGTTTTTTTGGATAGATTTTTTACATGTCCTTCACACATTAAAATCTGCAGGAATCAAGTTAATGGAAGAGACCACAAAATCAATGCCATACAGACACTACAAGTCTGTTATGTTTAACTCCACGATTATATGCATTATACCAGGGCTTTAACTAACCATAACTTTCCTAATTGAGTAAACTGCCCATTCTTTTTTTTTTTTTTACAATTAATTGATTAATATTTTGGTCATTTAACTGTCAAAAATTGAAGGAAAAATAAAGCTCACTACAGTTTCTACAGATTTCTGGAGCGATGTCTCCAAGTGATGTCTTTTAATTTCTTCATTTTTGTACTATTATTTCAAAACCTAAGACTTGAATGTTTAGAAATAGCAAGAAGGAGCATTTAGGAAGCTGCGATAAGAAAATGTTTGACTTCTTTAAACAAATTATTTCTGCATTTGCATATTTTCTTCACAATTTGATTAAATGATTTTACCTTAAATTAGAAAATTTGAGAAATTCAAGGACACAGTGCAAAAAGTAAATCTTGATGAAAGTCTGATAAGTCAGCATAATCATGAAAAATAGAAAGCCTGTGGGTTTGTTTATGGTTTTGTGGTTTCACCACCAGTCGTCCTGTCATGGATCTTTTAGTTTGCCCCATTTGTTCCAGACAGAGGGCCTGTATGGAGCGGTTTTATACCCCTGCTGTAGCTGCAGTCTCTCTGAGGTCCGAGTTACTACAGAGAGTAACTCAACAACATGCAGAGCTCTGCAGACACACCTTTGTACCACTGTTTATCCAATTTAGACACTCTTTTTACAATTAAGCAAAGTCTGCACTCTGAAATAAGCATAAATCGATCAAAGAGGTATTATTGTTGTTGATTTGGGAGAAAAAAACCTGCATGGATCACAGATTGCACTGAGCCAAACAAATTAAGGTCTATGCATTAGAGTCTTTGAAAGACATTCCGTCTTCAAAAAATGTAGTTTTTTAAAAAAAGACACAAAGTGGTTTCAAATAACACATTTGTAGTGACTGACATTTATATTGTGTGTAGAATGAAGGCATCCTTTGTGTTTCTGTCGTTTACACTCTTTTTCTCGGTATGAAGCAAGAACAATGTTACATTGAAGTTATGTGATATATGGTAGCCTAAATGTCAAGGCTGTTAAATCAGCCGACTACTTGTCTCCCCGTTGGACTGGTTGAAGGATCCTGTTTTTGCTCAAGCTCACTGCTTGTTTCTTTGTTTTTGAGGGCTCATTTGTTGGAGTCAAACAGTGGACAGGAACAGCTTATCTAGAGCTCAGCAGGCGTTTCTCCATGTTGCTCCGGTGCATGAAGAAAAGTCAACTCAGTGATTGTTTTCTTGAGAAGGTAGAACTGTAGGGTGATCATTTTCAATCACCTATTTCAGTCAAATTGAGGACATGAGCTTTTCACTATATCTAACTTTAAACTGTTACATATTCATTATGAGATAATGCTTAATTAACGATCACAGTATTTGCGCTGTCTATCTGAGCAACCCTGGGTAAATTATACATCAAGGTATGTTGAAAAAAGCACTGATTGATAGTTTTCTTTTTTCTTCTTTTATTCTTGAAACAGTTCAACTATAAAACCCTTCTATATGGATCATTTACTTTGACAAAATGCTGATTGTTGTACAGCTCAGTGGGGACATTTCTGTTGCAAACATTGACTATTTTCTTGTGATGGAGTGCTGACATTTTCTCATCATGGTTGAGTTTATCTCTAGTGCTTTATTTGATATATTGCAGACCTGGATGATGCCAGGTTACTGTATGTGTCCCGTGTGTGTACGGGGTAATTATAGGAAGTGTGACTTGTGTCGAGATTACCTGGCTTCTCACTCCAGCACTCAGCTAATTAGGCTATGAGTGGATACACAGGCCTTATTAATTTATTATTAAACCCATGTCTTTAAACGCTTGGCAGATTAAAGGTTAAAAACAGCTCGCTCTCCATGAATATCTGAACAGCTTTGGTGCAAATCGGCTCTGCTTTGTTTATTAATGTAAGCAGGCAAACCTCACATAGTGAAGACAGCAAAGATGGCTCCTGCTCAACTGTCTAAGTCCTTAAAAAAACACAGAAGAAGTTGGACATGGACTCAACTGCTTGGACTGGTGCCCTGTTTTAGACCATTAAGATCATCACAAGTGTTAGTTTTTATGACACTGCTTTCAACTCAGCATTTTAAAACTCATTTACAGGCCCCCTCTTATGCCCCAAGTTTATTTGTATGCTGCAGCAAGTCATGGCTTGTTTACAATTGAGTTTTAAGCACAAAGTCAGTACTTCTGTTTTCAATCCTGCTCCTTTTTGTGAGAAACAAACTCAAGCAGGACTGAAGTTGACATGGTGCTGCCCGGACAACGGTCGGTAGATTTGGTTGTGTGTTGATGTTGGTATTTTGATGAGGTGTAGTACAAAGGAAGGATTGTTCGCATGTTGCTGCTGTTGAAAAACTCACATTTATTTAGAACTGGCTGTAGGCCGGCCTAAGAACCTGAACTGTGAGTTTGATGTGGGTAGTGCTTTGTTTTTGGATGCTTCAGAGTGAGGATGAAGCTTTGTTTTATATTTTTAGGAGTTACAAGCAATGGCATTTAGTCAGAGTCGTGTTGTTTCAAAAAAAAGAAAAGTTTATCTTTAGTTTTAGGTTCACTTTAGGGAAAGTGCTCAAGTACACTGTCATTCAACTATCAGGGGACTAAATTGGAAAGTGTTGACTAGAGGAGGAGATTGTTAAAAACTATTGAGCAAGGCTTTTGTCCTCCATGGCAGAAAATTGAAATAGAAAATCTCTGCTGTCATACTTCTGGCAGATCTCCAAGGGACTGACCCAATTTGAAAATCATCTTCTAAAACCATTGCATTTCAGTCCCTGCAGATAATATGACTGAGATGAAACAGGTCTATGAGCAGACTTGAACTGGTGTCAGGGATGTGTAACAATTAAAGCAAGATATTGGCCGGCAAAAGAAGGTTGAACTCATGAACTTTAAGCAACCCTAATGTGGTAAAAATTGATCTACTTGTCACATATGGCCTGCCTGGAAACACAATTGAAAAGAATGTAAACAATTAGATTCATTATTTTATCATTTATATCATGGTCAGTCAGTGAACAAGGACTAAGATCCAATGTGATAACTAATTGAAATATGATCAATATATGTCATGTTTATGGATCTCAATAAGTCTTCAGGTTAAGTAAAAACAGGGCTCAGTTAAGTTAACCCTTCATCACAGTACTGGCACTCACTGAGCATAGGGAGTGTGCAATTCTATAGCTTCCTTAGTGAAAAAATGACCCCACTGAGGTACAATGGTGTCCTGTTGAGGACAAAGTTCACATTGTTTAGTGAACTAACAGTGCTGTGGGACGATCCAGGAAGAAGTGTTTGATGTGAAAGTCACAGATATGTCACCCAAATCCTTCTGCCCCAGATTCCTCTAACTCCGTCAATATTTCTGTTTCACATTTTAACATGTTTTTTTCTTCTTGTACTCCAGCTGTTTGTTAAATTTTAGGTCGTGCTTGCATTTCTTTTTAACTAGCTGAATATTTTTGACTAGGATAGTATGAGTTAATTAACCATGAGGTGTTAGGGGAGTTTTGAAGCACAGCTTTTTAATAGGGGATGAATAAGAAGTTTAGTATCCCTACAGGCCCTTATCTTACAACTGTGTTAATGAAGCTCTGTTTTTCTGCAAACACAGCAGATCCATACCTGCTTGCTGACTTCAAAACATCAGTGCCAAAAAAGTTAGGGTACAAATTGGCCCCAAGGACCTTTTCTCTTTTGGGATTTTCATTCTTTTTGACATTAAATATATGTTTGTGTAATTCAGGATCCCTTAATTCTTTAAATACTATAATATAAATAAATAATATTAAAAACCATTCCCATCTGAGCTGTTTGTCAATACTGTGTCTCTTTGTCATCTCTCAAACATCACCTGAAACTAGACATTGACCTTTAAACTTTATAGTGCAGATCTGTGCAGTATCATTCTGTATGAGTCAGCAAGACCACACTAGAATATGAGTTTTACTCACATCACTTTTTGTTTTCTTTCAACCTGTCTTCCTTTGGGCCCAGGCAGGAAGCCTGTTCAAACATTTTCATTTTTTTTCAGAGGCTAAAAATTCCAGAAACCCATCACCAAATGTCCAATGCTCAGACTTCAGACTCAGAATAAGACTTCCACTTTCATCCTTAGGTACTGTAATAAAACTGACAGAGAATCTGCACTGATTTTCAACTTCACCTTTATCTTTCCAAATACAATGTAATGTAATAAAAACGCCTGAAGTTGTTGCTGGGGGAAATTTGCTGAAGATGTGTACATCTCTGTGTAAAGCTTGGCTCAGCTCAATCAGTGTTTGTTATGGTATCTGTACCATC